AGTGCCGTGTCGTTTCCGTATCCGCCGTACGGTTGGATCGTACACTGATGCCACCGCCCCCCTTCCCCACCACTTAAATATTTTATTTTATTTTATTATTATTTTTTTTAAAAAAAAATATTTGGTCAAAGAAAATATTAAATTCAGTGACAAATTAAAAATAACTGGATGGGTTTTCTTACATTGTATTTTCCAATTCGAAAAAGTTGTGGTAGATTGGAAAAATGACATGGAACGTCCTTGTAGTAGTAAATAGTGCATGGTGGGCCTTCTGTTATTGCACAATATAATATGATATATATATATATATTTGTGTATGTATACGTAATGGTGTGAGTAAAAGATGGTCGGAAAGGAAAAAGGGATTTAAATTCGTTGGTTAAAGAGTGTCTAAATTGTGTGGTGTTTGCTTTAATTTGTATTGTGCAGACGTGCAAGATTTTGTTACGTGCGACATATCATACATCCATTGTTGTCTTTTCAATCAATCTTTGATTGAATATGGGTACATTTGTCGATTAGATATTAATCTTGATTCAAAAACGTGTATATGTATGTGTGTTTTTAATTTAATTCTGGGTTGGGATTTTGGGATTCATTTGGACAAATGCAAATCAAACGAGTCGTCGCATCATTGTAATAAATTGCATGGAGGAAAAGTTGGTGACCCTGAATTTATATTGAAGGTCCCGGGATGTCAACGCCAAGTATTTCCACGCGAATAATTACACGGGTGTGGATTATCCTGGTGCCGGGGTCCTGGAGTGGAGTAGGAAGTAGTATATATTGGTGCTTTAATTGGGCCTTCTTGCAGAGTCTAGTCATGTACCAATTTAGGCCCCCGCAATTAATAAACCTGTTGCTATCTTTGTTTCTTTTACCCTCTTTCTTTCGGGTGCTTTGACCAAAAGTTTTTTATTTTTTATTTTTATAAGTACAATAATAAAAATAAATAGTTGATGTACGGATACATTTGGTCGAGAATTTAGATTTTAAGTTGTGATTTAAATAGTAAATTTTTAATTAAAATAATAATATGATGTAATATAAATAATCATTAATACAATATTTTAAATATAAAATTAATTTTTATTATAATATAAAAAATAAATATTCTGAGTTTATGTTTCTGTAAAAAAAAATGATGAATAATGAAAATTCGGGAAAATCTCATAAAAAACACACCCTATATATGATTTGTAAAAAAATTGGATAAACACACACTAAAAAAAAAAACACTATTATTCTTCTAATACATTCCCTCAATCCAGTTACAAAGTATACATATTTTTTATTTGGAGTGTCCAATTACAAAGTAATCATTTCATTAAATATCTTTTTTTTTTTTTTTCACAAATAATCTTACTTTATATTACATCATTATTTTTATACAAAAAGTATCGATAAAAATATCATTACACTACTTTTACCTGCCTACTATAATTAAAATAGTATTGTATCTTAACTCCGCGCTAAAAATAAATATATACTTATTGTTTGGACGGAGGGAATACAAAAATTAAATATTCATACTGTCGTTTTTATTATTCAACTTTACTATTCCTAATAAATATATCTTAATTTTTCATTCAATATAGCATCAAATATTATTTTAATTTTAATTTTTATTATTTTCAAAAATTCAATGTTATCAAAATCTTAATATAACATGGCCTAAAATAATTTATATCAAATAAAATATTAGTATTTAAATTCAAAATTTTATGTAATATTCCCAAAAAAAATCCAAACCTGTATCATAACCCTAAATTAAGAAACACCACCTAATATTTTGAAGGAACTTAAATATTTTTTGTTTTTCATTCTTAAAATATATATTAAATAAAAAATATCGTATTACTTGTCTTGAATTAAAACACAGGGTTTCAACAGTACCCAATTAATCCATGCAAATGTAATATAGAATATGATATGTATTTTAATTTTAGCCATTTTATTTCACTGTTCGTAACGTGGGAATTACAGTATTGTTGCTTTAGAAATTCCACAAATAAAGCCAAGATTTATAGGCTTTTATTTTGTTCATATGTTGAAAATCACACTACATTTAAATTTAATCACTATTATATATATATATATATTTCAATCATTGAATTAGGCATAGTTTCAGGAACAATCAAGGACTTATATGACAGTATCAAATGTGTATACATGTCAATGTTTTTGTTTTTTTGTTTTTTTTTGTAGTCATATGATTCAATTCATAATATCCATTAAACATTGCTTGAACAATAAATATGATTTCCATATATGTATCTTGAATAGTTTGTTCAAAAAATTGAAATTGTAAAATTATGCATATGATAAAATTAATTAATTTTAGTATATAATCTTGACTAGAATTAAGGTCCAAATCCAGCCCTTTTTAAAAGGGTTGGGTGAGGTTAGGCAAATGATTGACTCGTGACTTGTTTCTTTCTTGTTCACTTAATGTGCCCAATGCTTTCTGGTTTCTTTACTTGAGTTTTTAAGTTTATATTTTACTCTAATTTATTAAACTTTGAAAAAAATTTAGTAAACAATGTATTTAAATACATTTATTTAAAAATATATTATGTTTAATATTTAAATAAATATATATATATATTAGTCTTGTCGAGGTGTCATGTCTAACAAAATTCATTTTCAAATGTCACAATCATAATGGTAGGGGAAATATTCGGCTGATATTTTTAGAAGCTTGTAGAATAGTTGATATGTCCCATTGGGGAGATCTATTTGTACATGAAAGATATTACAATAAATCTATGGACATATTTATATCTAAACTAAAAATGATAATATTTGTTTTTTTTTTATTGATTAAGTGAATTATTTTATTTTATTTTTATTTTTTAAGTAAAAATAATAATTTTGCTCTTAGTGATGGAGTAAATATATATATATATATATATATATAATTCAACTTCAAGTACTATTTAAATGATGGTGATGATGATTGTTATTATTACGAAGATAAACATGTACAATAGTGGAGTGTGTGTTATTGACTTAAAAAGAAATTCAATTTGAATATGTATGTATATATATATGGTGGGTTCGAAATGATCGATATGTATATATATATATATATATATATTTTGAGTGGTGGTCCTATTCACTTGATATGATATTCTCTATGTTGTGTGCCTGAATTTAAAAATGTGATTGAGATGTTAAAATGGGATGTAGTCTGTCTTATTCAAGATGGACTTCATAAAAAAATAAAATAAAATAAAAAAAAAAAAAGAAAAAAGATGGACTTCATAAAGTGGCTAATCGAATCAAATCGAATTTTACCGACATTTTTTCATTTGAGTATATTATGCAAGACTTGTTTGACTTTTCTAGCTAAAGATTATTGTATTCGACTCAAAAATTTACTCAGTATAAATAATTGTAAAACTCATGTCATAAAAAAATGGACTTCGAATCCTATAAAGTTATTTATTTTATTATGTACGTTTTGTGCCTCACAACATGCATACGCATAAGAACTGTCAAAATAGTTTGACGGAGCGGATTAATTCACAACTCACTATTATTATTAGCGAGTCAACTCGCAGCGAGGCGGGCTAAGATTTAAATAGTTCAATCCAATCAATCAGCAGGTGGCGAACCAAGTGGGCCAACCCACGGAGCTTTTAAAAAATATTAAAAATATTATTTTTATATAATTAATATAAAAATAATTATATTTTAGAATTTAAATAATAAATATTTAATGATAAATATCTCACATAAATTGATTCAAAATTTTAAATATCATTTGATTATTATCTTTTTTTTAAAGATTTTGTTAATAAAAAATATTTAAACAATCAATATGTATTATTTTTATAAATCTTTCAAGAAATTTTAGAAAATAAAAAGTAAACAACGATGAAAAATAAATAAAAGAATAAATAAAAAAATTAAAATAAAGAAAATAACATCACCAAAACAGTTATAAAATAGAGTGACATAGCACACAATATACATATATATTAGTTCACAATATACATATATATTAGTTAATTAGTTTAACAAAACAGGAAAGTTTTAATAAATTAATTATTTTGATTTAAATTAATATAAAATATATTTAGAAACTATCCTAAAATATAATATTTTATCAATTTTATATGTAGATATCTATTTATTTTTTATTAAAATTTATAATATTAGTATCAAAGAGTTATAATGACTTTTGTTGTAAGAGTTTTATATAGTTATATAGTAAGTACAATTACTAAAAATAAAATAAATATATTAATTTCAGATCCACTAAAATAATGAAATAGATAAATTTATTTAAAATATTAAAAATATACTAATATCATTATAATTATATTTATTTAGCTTGCGAGCTAACCCATTTTCAATTCGGTATGCATTTTAACATCCCTAAAACATTAAAACCCAATCACTTTAAAAGTGGAGCCGGGTGGACCAACCCATTTACTCAATCCATTTTGACAATTGTAATACACATACAATTTTAAAATAAACTATGTTATTATTATTATTATTACTCCCTCCGTCCCAAACACCGTACAATATTTGTGTTTGGTATGAAAATTTAGGTGGGGAAGATTAAGTATAGTAATTTGAGATAATTTGGATATTGAGTGATGTGATTGAAGAGAGAAATGATTATTTGTTTTTTGTATTTGAGTGATGTGATGGGATAAAGTGAAGTATATATTAATATATGTATAAAAATATTATTAATTATTTATAAATTTAGAAATGTTGCTTTGGGACAAACAAAAAAAAAAAATATTGCATGATGTTTGAGACGGACGGAGTATTATCTAATAACAGTTCTCTAGTTGATTAGAGATATCTGTTTGGGCCTTTGAACTATATCTGTTTAAATATATTGGGCTTTATTGGGCCAGTCCATTTATAAATGCTAATCTTTGTACAGTCCTGGGTTGCTGTCCGGGGAAAAAGCCTATGCCTACTGTTCTACAGATGCATATTTGTACATTATTTTTTTAACAAAAAGTGATGTGTTGAAAATTTTCATTGCCCTTACTGTTGTGGATAAAAACTCTGTAAAACCCTTCTGGTTTATCAATGGCGGAAGGATCAATACACTGAGTTAGAAGATACTGACTTGGGGCAGTTTTCCCAAGCAATTGTCGTTCTAAAAGCTATGGACACGGCAACTGTGCAATGCCGACTGACCTCACTCCATTCTCCCTCGGAAAGCGTATTTGCTCTTCGAGGAACAACAATTATCGTTTCTTTGTCCTACCGGAGGTACAGGCCCAAGCTCAAACTTTCCCGTCAGAAGAGGTTTATAATTTCAGCTTCTTCCTCCTCCTCGTCTTCTTCAAGTGGACCGGAGGGTTTATCTTGGGCGTGGCTTTCGCAGTCCTTTCGTCGCGGCTCTCAGCGGTTTCTGGAGAAATTGGGGCCGTCAGTGGAGAAAGAAACCGGGGTTGATATGGATAATGTTAGGGTTAGGATGGATGAGTTTTCGAGCTGGGCTCGAGATTCGGGCAGGAAGGCGCAGGAATCAGTGGAGCGAGTTAGATATGAGCTTCTGCCGCAGTTTGCCAATTGGAATAAATGGGAACTCTGGAAGGTATGAATTTTGCCGGGAACCGACATGATTGCCTTATGTTGCATCTAGAGCTTAATTCGCCGTCCCAGAATATACATAAATTTGTTTATATGTTTTGCAAATTTGCTTGCAGGATGTGAGGAATTGGGACTCCAAAAGATTAGGCGTTTTGGTGCTGTACATTTTTGTTTCGATTTTATCTTGTCAAAGTATATATAAAGCAGTCCGAGCTCCTATTATTGATCGTGAAAGGAGAGAATTGGCTGAGGCATACATGGATGCATTAATACCTGAGCCTACACCAATCAACGTGAGAAAGTAAGTATGATTCCCATTCGACTATTGATTGTTATTTGTTAATAATATCATATAATTCTGGAGGAAATGGTAGAGACTAGTAAAGCCATAGAGCCTTAATTCGACTGTTATGACAATTTTATGCTTTTTTGGTTAGCCTCAGATTATACAGAGTGTATGTATATATATATGTATATATATCTTCGTCGGCTCTTTTAAAAAGATATTGTGCTGATACCTTCTTCTCAAAATCTGCCCTCCATAATTTTTTAGATATAAACAAGGTATGTGGAGGAAGACGACTCCCAAAGGTCTGAAACTCAAAAGGTTTGTTGAGGGGCCAGATGGAACACTTATTCATGATAGTTCTTTTGTCGGAGAAAATGCATGGGAAGATGATGCTGATAAGACCCAAAATAGTGTAAAAGAAATGATAGAGCAAAACACACAATTGAAGAGTGAGGAGAAAAAGGTTCTCCAGAATGATTTGGGTCTATCAGGTTTGTATCTGTGCTATTGTTTTTTGCGGCACTGCTTATAATAAGGAATGATTGTTCTTGCTCTCTGCCTTAGCTTTTGGAGAATATTGTCACAGTAATTATGAAATGTTTGGCCAGCCACTCTTACTCCTACTATAAAATATATTCTTATTTCGATCTGCACAGTAAATTATCTTCCTGAAGCACAACACTTAAAACCCTTTCTTACAACAGATTTGCAATTATGTATTAATAAGATACAAATGTGCACATTTAGCATCTACTACTTCCTCTTTATAGTTGCTGATGGTTCCTACTTGGCTGCAAAAAAAACATAAGCATAAACATAAAGATCTCTTATAAAGCTCTCCACATATATATCTTTTGGATGTAACTCAAATCATCTTCAAGTAATTGAATTTTGTATTCAAAATGTAATAACTTGTAGTGAATTTTTTAATTAGTTGAAGAATTTCTGCAATGAAAACATGTCAACTGAGAATTACATACTTTAACAGAGTCCGAAGAGAACTTTGAAGTTTGATAATTGAAATGGTATAGAGCATAATTTTCAGCTTGATTCATACACTGATGCAACTACTAGTGAAAGGGCTAATGATGATCCCAAGCTGAGTGATTGAACCATAATTTGGTGGCGTGTTTTCAAGATGTTTCTCAAAGCCATATTTATTTCTAATGCATAAAACATCTAACAACTATATAAATTTACATATTTTGGAGGCACAAAAGAAGAATTTCGCACCTGTTAGCTGCACTTTCTTAGGCAGTTTTGGCGGGGATCTGGAGGCTGCAGAAAAGATCTTCACTTATTGATCTTGGTGTTTTTCATGTCTTTTTAATCTTGTTTCTTTGGCAGCTGATAATCAGAATACTGGAGGAACATGGCGTGAGAGACTTGCAGCATGGAAAGAAATTCTTCAAGAGGAGAAGTTAGCTGCAGAACTCAGCTCATTGAATTCCAAGTACGCTGTGGAATTTGACATGAAAGAAGTTGAGAATAGTCTTCGCAAGGATGTAGTAGAGAAGGCCAAAAATGCACAAGGAGTTAAGGGATTGTGGATCTCCAAAAGATGGTGGCGTTACCGGCCCAAACTTCCCTATACATATTTCCTTCAAAAACTTGATTCTTCTGAGGTATCTATCATTATTGAGTCCGTTCTTGCTTCCTATATGATTATTCATTACAATGAGTGTATATTTGTATGAATGTATGTGTGCTAGAATGATGATTGATAAAATTTAGGTCCTGGCTGGATTCACACTGCATGGACACATGGAATCTCCAGCACGGTTATGTTAAAGAAGCATTTATCTTTGATAATGTATTTGTATGATCTTATTGGGATCTACATAGATTCAGTAGTTGGGTCTATGATACATGGGTGTTCTGCAGTTGAAGCTTATCTTATTACTTTGATGATTTAGTCTTGCATTAGATAAATTGGTATCAGAGGCTCAAATAGGTTATTGTCAGTTAATTAGAATCTGAATGTTGTATGTAAATGTAATAAAATTATTACATAAATATTACAGATTTTCTCTATGTGCTATTTAAATAATATGCATATATTCATTTTCAGGTTGATGCAGTTGTTTTTACAGAGGATCTCAAGAGATTGTATGTTACCATGAAAGAAGGATTCCCTCTAGAATATATCGTGAGTCAAATGTCGTATTTGTGTTTTAACATTGGTTTTTCTTCTATATCTTGCCTCTTGCTTACTTAGTTTGTTACTTCTAGGTTGATATCCCCCTTGATCCTTATCTTTTTGAGGCCATATCGGTATCTGGAGTGGAAGTAGATCTTCTTCAGAAGCGTCAAATCCATTACTTTCTCAAAGTTGCATTTGCACTGTTGCCTGGGTTACTAATCTTATGGTTGATTAGGGAATCTGTGATGCTTCTTCATATAACAACCAACCGTTTACTTTATAAGAAATATAAACAGGTTTTGGACATGGCATATACCGAAAACTTCATTCTGGTATGTTTTCTTTTGTCCGTATTTAATTGATATCATTTTATCCAATTTGAGTAATATTTAATTCAGTGTTCATTTCACTCAGCCAGTTGGTGATGTTGGTGAAACAAAATCTATGTATAAAGATGTAGTATTAGGAGGAGATGTCTGGGATCTTCTGGATGAACTGATGATATATATGGGAAATCCCATGCGGTATTATGAAAAGGAGGTGAAGTTTGTCCGAGTAAGTTTATACTATCTTGACACTGAGTTGGGGATATTTATTCAAAGCATACTTTAAAATGGGAGTTACATAATATATTTAATCATGCAGGGTGTGCTTTTGTCTGGACCACCTGGAACAGGGAAGACACTCTTTGCCAGGACACTAGCAAAAGAAAGTGGTTTGCCTTTTGTTTTTGCTTCTGGCGCAGAGTTCACAGATAGTGAGAAAAGTGGGGCTGCAAGAATTAATGAGTTATTCTCAATTGCGAGGAGAAATGTAAGCTTAACATACTACCTATCTTCCTTCCATGCTTTATTGTGTGAGTTCAGTTATAAATTAAAAAGACTGAGAACCAGTTAGGATGAAAATTTAATGAAATGCTTGGTTAGTGAAAATCTTGGTGGCTAAATTTGATGTTGTTAACCTCTTGGATAGTTATGTAGGATGATTTGTTTCTTTGTTAATGAGAGAAATGATGACTGACAAGCTAGATAAGTCCCTCTCTGAAAATCCTAAAGAAATATCATAAATGGTTATTCTGAAATGAAATCCTGAAACACTAATATCAGAGTGATTTGTGGAATCTGCATTCAGTTGCTGAAGTACATCTTACTGTGTCTTCAATTGATTTACCAATGAATCCATCGAAGATGAGAGAATCACTGGGCACATATTAATGATAATATTGTGATTTAATGATCTTTGGTGGTATTTGAATCTACTTAAAACCTCACTCATAGTTTTGTAGATTTTAACATCACCCAACAGCAGCAAGCCATTTATTTGTACTACTGGAGAAGATCGAGTTCTTGCACGAGTACCCAGAAGCATCCACCTTTTGTTTGGATGCAGTGTTTGAACTTCTACATTTAGAGATCTGACTAATTAACACCCTTACCGAGCATAAGATACCTTAATAAAAATTTTTCCGTGTTTAACTGTCTGTTCATGTACATAAATGTCCAACATTTAATCTGTGGATTCTAGTGGAATTGTTTGTTACCTATATATTTTTGCTCTTCATATATATATATATATGTTTCAAATTTACTTCTTAGTATCCTCATATTTATGAGACCACTTAATCATTATAATACACGTAACCATACAAATGCTCCATAATCAAACAGCCAATGATAATAAAAATGCTTAAATAAGCAACCTTCTCCCCACTTTTTCCTTCAGAAAAAACAACCAAACATAAGCATAATATTTGTGAGCATTCACAAGCACTGAAGCACATGTTATGATGTAAATTATGGTATCTGCAAGAAGAAACGCATCACATATCTCTTCCTTCTGTAGGCTCCTGCTTTTGTCTTTGTGGATGAGATAGATGCAATTGCAGGAAGACATGCCAGAAAGGATCCACGAAGAAGAGCAACATTTGAAGCACTAATTGCTCAGCTGGATGGAGAGTACGTAAGATGTGAATGTATTCTTTATAGGACTTGAAAAGTTTCAAACCATTGCTTGAGGTGTAAATATGCCATATCTGACACAGGGCTAGTCCTTATAATTTTGTCTACAGAAGAATGAACTTTGATGCTTTGCACGATTCTAGGAAATTATTTTTTTTACTGAATGAAATATTCATGAGAACTATATGTTGAATGGTTTAATAGTTAGATGCTTATGCATTCTTTAATCTAGCGTTGCTCAACAGCTAAGACAAAAATGCAGTGTACTGATTTTGGTGGTGAAAACATAGGCGCTGAGAAAAAAAAGAGATAAAATGACTGAAGAACATTCTACTATTAGCTGTGCTATTTTTTCTAAGTTAGGAATTTTGGCTTGAATGATGCAACTCTTATGTTTTGGCAACAAATTATAATGGATTATCAATCGCACTGTTTGGACACTCGAATTGCAGTAACTGGCATTTGGCCTAGTTTACCTTGGAAAACACTAGAATTGAAAGGTTCAAATATATGCAACTAGATTTATGAAAATAAACCCTTGAAGTAAATTATATTTTATTCCAAAAAAAGAGGAACAGCTATTATGAAAATATATATAAATAATATGCACTTTTTGAGTAGTTAGTTTCTGTCACCCTACTGAATCTTCCAAGTAAATGCCTGGTTTTCTTTTTTGCAGTAAAGAAAGAACTGGTGTAGATAGATTCTCGCTGAGGCAAGCTGTTATTTTCATATGTGCTACTAATAGACCAGATGAATTGGACCTAGAATTTGTTCGCCCAGGACGTATTGATCGCCGTGTATATATTGGGTTACCTGATGCAGAGCAACGAACACAAATTTTTGGTGTTCATAGTGCTGGGAAGGAGCTAGCTGAGGATGTTAATTTCCAAGAGGTTGGGTTCGTTTTTTTATTCTCTCGTATGTTGTAGTCTTTTCTTGTTTTATTGACTTTGGTTTTCTGGACACACTTAAAATGATTTCTCTTCTTGCTACTTAGTTATAGTTCGCATGACACCGACAACTGGTCCTCACGTTTAGGTTGAAGGAGATGTCCTGGCGCATAAGTTAAGAATATGTTTGCTTAGTTTTGTTCTTTTTTTATTTCCATCTCCACAGGTAGTCTTCCGAACTGTTGGGTATTCTGGGGCAGATATCAGAAATTTAGTCAACGAAGCTGGAATAATGTCTGTAAGTTCTCTGTGCTTTGTTCAAGATAATTTATATTGATACCACTTTCTTGTGGGGGATTATGTAGTAGGGTATGGTTCTTTAAGTTTGTAAATGGTCTTGAAGAACTGAGATGCTGAAGTACTACCGTCTATTTTTTGAAAACCATAAATACTGGAGACATTGAACACTGGATAATAGGTGGTATTGACTCTGCGGGTGACATTATCTTGGAAAGTTGTTTATAAGGAGAGCTTTGTTTTGATATTTATGAAAGTTGCATGGGTAACATCATTTTACATGGAAATATTTGAACATAATTTCTAATTCAAAATAAATTGAATTATGTGTAGTATTATGCTTTTTTTGTCGACCATGCCTCTCATGTCCAATTTGCTCAATGATTTTCACTATATTTTTTGATTTGTAAGGCCTTCGCTGTGAGTATCTTCATAGTTATTGATACCTAAAAACAGGTCAGGAAAGGGCATTCAAAGATCTACCAACAAGATATCGTTGATGTATTGGACAAGCAGTTGCTTGAAGGAATGGGTGTGCTTCTTACCGAGGAAGAGCAGCAGAAAATTGAACAAAGTGTATGACATCTGTGACAAGTCATTTGTAAGAATTACCTACTTAAAGTATAACTTACTATCGTCGTTCTATAGATATCCTTGGAAAAGAAAAGGCTTCTGGCGGTGCATGAAGCAGGTCACATAGTGCTGGCTCATTTGTTCCCTCGATTTGATTGGCATGCATTTTCTCAGCTGTTGCCTGGTGGAAAGGTATGGCTTATTGTGAATTAATTTTATTTGGATGTTGAGTGAAATCCATTGGTTATGTGCTTGAGCAGGAAACTGCTGTTTCTGTCTTTTACCCTCGAGAGGACATGGTAGATCAAGGTTATACAACCTTTGGGTACTTGCAAATGCAAATGGTGGTTGCTCATGGAGGGCGATGCGCTGAACGTATTGTATTTGGAGATGACATTACCGATGGAGGAAGTGATGACCTTGAAAAGATTACTAAGGTAAAGATGAGGGAATTCTTATCTTGCCTCAAATATGGATGTTTACTCTGTATTGAAAGTTTAACCCAAGCAATGAACAATGCATTATTATCCAGACACTGCCCCCTCTGATCACTTATCCTACACCTCTTTCAGATTGCTCGAGAAATGGTAATAAGTCCTCAAAATCCAAGGTTGGGGCTCACTGCCTTGACCAAAAGAATTGGTCTGGCTGATCGCCCTGATAATCCAGATGGTGAACTAATAAGATACAGGGTACAGGGCACTTGATTTCAATAGAACTAGCTTTATAAGGTGCTGCTGACTGCTGTTTTGTTTTAATTGCTAATATTTAAGCAACTCATTTTGCTTCTTTGTTGTGATATTAGTGGGACGATCCCCAAGTGATTCCAGAAAACATGACACTTGAAGTTTCTGAGCTTTTCACCCGGGAGCTTACAAGGGTAACTTTTATCTGCTTTTATTATTCTAGTTTTTTTGCTCTATTTTCAGACAGGTTCATTCATCTTAACCGTTCGTGGGAGGGTGTACTCTATGACATTATTGCCTTACAAATCCTTTACTTAATCAAACTCTTTCCATTTATGCATTGTAGCCTCCGTTCTCTTTCAATTTACCAGCATCCACGAACCAGTGAGGATTATTATTCATGATTTAGTGGTATAAACCAATATGTCAATTTACATCAGAGGATAGGCCAGGTAGTATTGGGATTGCATGAAAAAGATGGAGCCAAGATAATAATATTAGAAATTAGAACTGCAGACAGAGGTGTACAGTTCTGGCTCGATCCAACATTAAACAAGAGAATAGGCTCATCATCTTATTTAATATTCTATCTGATATCAGGTTCTTAGGTTTATTGTATTTATTTACAAAGTTGATTTTGTCTTGAGACAGTACATTGAGGAGACTGAGGAGCTTGCCATGAAGGGACTGATGGACAACAGACATATATTAGACATGATTGCCGAAGAACTATTACAACATTCAAGGATTACGGGATTGGTAAAGAATATATATATATATATATATGCCTTTTTGCTAATGCCATGAAAGCTGACTAAATTAATTTAGAACGGTTTCACCATGCGGAAAATGTGTTGGTTTCCGCATAATGTTTTTGAGAGAAATAGTAACTGAGAGTGCCATCCCTTTTCTTAGAGCTCGCTTCCTTTTTTGTTGTGGAACAACAATACCTTGTTTTCAGCTTTAGGGAAATTACAAAAAAACACCCTCCTTGAGGTTTAAACTTAACCAATAACAGGACTGTCCCTTTTGCTTTAAAATTGTGTGGTTACATTACCTTCCGTTTGTTGTTCTTGAGTGTAGAATAATAATTGCCTGACAGTGAGTTCATTTCAAGAAACAGCTTGATGCTGTTTATTATTTGTTCTCAAACAACTTTTTGAGTAAGTGTAAACAAATCTTTTTGATGCTTCTTTTGTCCAGGAAGTGGAAGACAAAATGAGAGGATTATCACCAATTATGTTTGAAGATTTTGTGAAACCTTTCCAGATTAACATGGATGAGGTAAGCACTCTCGATCTACTTGCTGTCTAGTTGAACTATGCTGATGATGTTTCGGCTTCCCCAATAGCAGCTGCTAGATACAACATGCATATGAAATTTCTTGAACTGCGATGTTTTTGGCCCCCTCCCCTCTTTGTACCTGTGTTGTTCTGTTCTATAATTGGTCTGGCATCTAATTCCTAGTTCTTCTTGCCGAACAGGAGGGACCGTTGCCTCACAATGATCGAGTGCGATTTAAGCCATTGGATATCTATCCTGCACCACTACATAGGTAGATGATAGAATGGATCCTGCAATGGAGCTTGGAGCTTTAGATCACCCGGATGAATGCCAACTAAAATCAATCGACTATTTCAGTAGACGTCAAGAATGATTATCAATCGATCCATCCATGGGCAGCAATGCATCATGGATTCCTTATATCAGCATCTTGGCGGCTTAATTCAACACTACGTGGTGGTGGTGGGGATGGATATATGTCTTCCTCAACTTCATGTCCAACTCTATGCATTCATTGTTTATTACTCCATTAGTTAAGTTGTGGTCTCTTCTTATCACCATATATAGTGTTCAGTCATGTAGTAATATGTTTTTAATACTTAAGCTAATATTATATATGTATACATATTTACTATAAAAAAATTAGACAATACATGAAAGTACAATATACAATATAGACATAAATATATGGGAGAAATCAACATGGTTTTGGTTAGTGACGGAAATATAATATATGAATATAAATATAAATTGATTTAGTCGTTAATGTATGAAGTTTTGACGTGCGAGGGTGTTTTTTTTTTTTTGATCGAAAAAAAAAAGTTGTTTTGGTTAGAAAATGTTTTGGGGATTGGGTTTTTAAGATGTGTTTTGTTATAAGAATTTTAATAATTATATTGGATATAATAGTTAATTTGTAATAGGATAAATACAAATAATATATAATATATATTATTAATAATAAAAATATTATTTCCGCCTCGCTCTCCCTCCCGTCACCCCGCGGCCCCGCCCCACGATTTCTTTCTTTTCCTCTTCTCCTTCCCCGCTTCTATGTTGCGCCGTCGCCTATCTCCCAAACACGAAGTCTGCCGCCGCCCGCTGGAACATCTGGTAAGTTTTATTTCGAAGCTTCTTCCGCCGGTGGACGTTTCCGCCGCCGAACGGAGTGGAGGCTGTTTTGTTATGAAGAGTGTTGAAACATTATTTTAAATATTGATAGTTTTAATTATAATTACAGAGATTTTTTTTTTTTTTTTTACGCATATAATTATCACAATACATTATTATTATTATTATTATTATTATACAGAACTGAGTTTAATTAGTAGAAGTTTATTGTTGCTAGGGTTTATGTGTTTGAATTGAATTGAGTTGAGGATTCTCAGTCCGAGGTCGACTGATAATCATGGCGGAACCAATCCAAGTCGACGCAAGCTTCCCGTTATTTTCCAGGAAAAAGAAGAAAAAGGAATCCGCCCAAGTAATCACCGCCGATCAGAAACCTCCATTCTCGGAACATGCTGCCGCCGCCGCCTCAAAAGTACTCGAAAAGGAACTCAACCCCAATCCAACACCAGCCCACGTGACGTTCGCCGACCTCGGCCTTGCCGAGTGGTGCGTCAATACCTGCAAGGAGCTCGGGATGAAGAGGCCAACTCCCGTCCAGCACCACTGCATCCCCAAAATCCTTGCCGGACAGGACGTGATGGGTCTGGCTGAGACTGGAAGTGGCAAGACGGCGGCTTTTGCGCTTCCTATTCTCCACCGTCTCGCGGAAAATCCATTCGGTGTGTTCGCACTTGTTGTCACTCCGACTCGGGAACTGGCTTACCAGTTGGCCGAACAGTTTCGGGCCCTCGGCTCGGGCTTAGGATTGCGGTGCTCCGTGATTGTGGGTGGTATGGATATGATCAATCAGGCGCAGAGTTTGATGCAGAGGCCGCATGTGGTAATTGCGACTCCTGGAAGGATTAAGGTTCTTATTGAGGAGAATCCTGATATTCCTGCTGTTTTCTCCAATACCAAGGTTGGTTGTTTATTTTCTGAATTTTTCTTCATAGTTTCTGCTTCTGTAATTTCATGCCATTGATTGTGTATAACGTTGGAATTCTTGTGGTTTGTATCATATTTTATCTGAATAATATATTTTTGTTTCTTGGCTTTCTAATCATATGTTGTGAATCAATTTTAGGAGAAGACAGTGCTGATATTTTAATTGGGGATTAATCAGTTTTTACTGACATTGATCTTTTTTAGATTAAAAATGAAGGATATAGCTTTAGCTTCAAATTTATTCAGGTGGGAGAATTTGTTGTTTTCTATAGTGGTTCTGAGCTTCCATTCAGTGTTTCTATTACTTGTTCATATGCTTTTGCTCCTTTTTTTTTTTTTTAAATAATCTGACGAAGAGTCTTGCTGCAGTTTTTAGTCTTGGATGAAGCGGACAGAGTGTTGGGTGTTAACTTTGAAGCAGAATTAAGAGTTATTTTCCAGTGCTTGCCAAAGAATAGACAAACATTACTATTTTCTGCAACGATGACTAGCAATTTACAAGCATTGCTTGAACTTTCTGCAAATAAGGCATATTTCTATGCTGCATACGAAGGGTGTAAAACTGTGGAATCTCTGAGGCAGCAGTATGTCTTTGTACCCAAGTATGTGAAGGATGTGTATTTATTACACATATTAAACAAAAGGGAAACAATGGGAGTTCGATCTACAATTATTTTTGTTTCAACCTGCAGGTATAAATATATGTATATATTTTTGCTGTAAGAAGTGTGATAGCATCAATTGATTCATAACTTGTATCAAGTTTCTTATTTCTTGGAAATTAAAAAAATTGAGTGCTACTTTCAACTACTTGAATGCAAAGTGGATGTGTTATCTTCACTCTCTTGATTCTGAAATAGTATTTTTTTCGATGGGCACAGGGGATGTGAGCTTCTGAGTTTGTTGCTTGAACAGCTTGATTTAAATGTTGCCTCGTTGCACTCATACAAATCCCGGTCTTTGAGGCTTTCTGCGGTACATAAGTTCAAGTCCGGACAGGTCCCTGTTTTAATAGCAACTGATGTTGCCAATCGTGGTCTAGATATACCAACTGTGGATCTAGTAATAAATTATGACATCCCTAGGTAATTGGTGGTTACTGTGTGTGTTTTTTCAAGAAAGTAGATGCTGTTACTATATTCCAAAATACTCCAGAACTTGCTATTTATTATAGGTATCCGGAGGACTATATTCATCGTGTTGGACGAACTGCAAGAGCTGGAAGAGGAGGTCTTGCTGTTAGCCTTATTACCCAGGTACAATTTAAATTTCATTGAATTTTATTCCAATCGTGCTGGTAATTATAACTGGTTATGAAAAGATATCGACTCTATTATGAGGATACTGATGAGGTTATCTCGGAAAATTATTTGAAAGTTTCTTAAATATCTTATTGCCTTTTTTCCTTGTGGGGATGTACCTTAATCTGTGATCAATTCCAGTTGTTCTTGAATAAGTAAATGGAACATTGTTGATTTTTTAATCTAGGCTGATTCTTGGAGATATTTAGCCTTACCCTTGCATTAAAGTTGCTGTAAATAACACAATTCTTTCACAATTTATATCTAGTCGGATTGTGATAAATTTTGGCAAGGAATTCATTTGAATAAATTGGTTAGAGAATTTCAGGGTGATTGAGATTATGTTACTAGCAATTTGTGAATTGTGTTCTGTTCTTTTTGCATCATTCCTGGTATCAAATTTAGTGATCTGTCTAAACATTTTCCCTTGTTTTAATTGATGTGCTGATCCCCATATGCAGAATGACATTGAGCTTGTACACAAAATAGAAGCTGTTGTTGGAAAACAAATGGATAAGTTTGAGTGCAAGGAAAAGGAAGTTCTTGATGAGAACATCACACGGGTAAGAGTTGTTTGTTTGTTTCTATCTGATGGAAGCTTCAGGTTGTTCTCTTCAGGTTATGGTTCTTGAATAGAGCAGCTATATGAATTTTTATCAAAACTAAGAATGCCATTTGTGTTTTACGATAGATGGCTCCTTATTGTGTTGTCAGGTCACTAAGGCTAGACGTGTAGCAACTATGAGGATGGCTGATGATGGGTTTGAGGAGAAAGCCAAAGCAAGAAAAGCTCAGAAATTGAAGACGTTAGAAGAAAAAGGGCTATTGAAGAAGAAGAACAAGAACAAGAGTAAGAAACGGAAGAGAGAAAAATCTGCACAAGAATTTAAAAACTGAAGTGTGTTCTTCTAAAAGGAGACGAGACGAGACGAGAGGCTCACACTTTTGGGGATTATGATTTGTTGGTAGCATATATATATATATATATTATATATAATTTATTATTTTCCTTTTAGATGTTTTTTTTCACTCTTTTTGCATTGGGATGGGCAGCTATGGAGCTTGAAAAGCTTCTTGGAGAAAATTAAATGTATTCAAAATTGTCTTTGATGTATTTTGAACAGAACAGAGAATTTTTACACATACGAATAGATTACTTTATAGTCTCATCTTGCCTCATCTAATTTTGTCTTTAAATATCATATTTTCTATTTATTTTTAAGGATCTATTTGGTGTAGAGAATTCGATTTAGAAAAATATGAATAAATAAAAAAATTTAATTTGTTCAAATATGAGAATTCATAATTGAAAAATAAAGGAAGAGGAAGACGTGAACACGCAGTTACAATTACAAACACGAATAAAAAGAAAAGAGACAAATTAAAAAAAAAGTTAGAAACGTGTCGAAATGCATGAAGAAGGTTTGACAGGTGTCGCAACCACAGCCTGGACAAGCAGTATATACACAGACGCTAGCTCTTCAGACCACTGCATCGTCGTCGTTGTCATCAATGGAGAGGATCAATCGGTTGGGCAATGCAGCAGCGACAAGTGCCTGCCTTGTTTTCATGCTCCTGCTCTTACTGCCGCCGTTTCGTAAGTTGCTGCTTCTACTAATTCATTAATCAAATTAAATGATGGATTAACATATATGTGCACTGCAGTAGTACTGTGGGGAGATGATGGGATGTTAATGGTGGAAGGGAGGGACTGCGAATCAAAGAGCCATCGTTTCCATGGGCGATGTATGAGCAACAACAACTGCAAATTGGTGTGCCACAACGAGGGTTTCACCGGCGGCAAGTGCCATGGCATGCGCGGCCGTTGCTTCTGTACAAAACCCTGTTGATTAGTCGCCGGCGCCGGAGCTGACCAGCTGTAATATCATATATATATATATATATTATATTGTCATGTTTGTGCTCAAGCCTCGAGGATCTGTTGCTGATTATCAAAAATCTAAATTGTTGGTAGTGTTTGATTCATCAATGATGGAACAAATTATACTATCAATCGAAAATTATATTAATGAAAGTTAAAATAGATATACAAATGGAATCAGCCCTCGGTCACAGTGATATTTTTATGCACAAAGGATTCTCATTTGAGTTTGGGGATGAGCTTCAAGAATGGTCCCTCTTTTTTAAGAAAATAAAAATTTAATAGTAAATAAAGTTTCATATTAATAATTATTTAATTATATTTTAAATATCAAAATTAATTTTTTATTCGTTAAATAAGAATAAATATTTTAATTTAATAATTTTGATTGATAAAAAAAATAAAATATCATTAAATTCAAATGACTTCTAAGGAAACACGCTTTATGAAAGAAAAAATAATTGCAGAGCACCAAATTAAATCGAGATTGTCTGACAAATTTGAAAAACCTGCTGATAATTGCAAGGCAATCAAGTTTGAATATTTGATATTTTTGTTTTTTTTTTTAAAATTTTAATTTGAATTTGATATTAAAATAATATATAATAAAATATTATATAAGATTTTTTTTTTTTCTTTTAAAAGAAAAACGTAAAATTTTAACAGAAGAAAACAAACAACATACAAGTAAACACCACCCCACCAGCTATTGAGACCAATGACATCGGGCCAACATTTTTAGTCTACAGATTTTCAAAGATTTTTAGGTTTTTGAAATTTTAAAAATAATAGTATTTCATATAATATTCTATACTAATAAAATATATTTATTTTTTATAAAGTGCTTTTAAAAATTGAGTAGTTGTCATATTTTTCTTTCGTGTGACATGTCAAAAATTTAAAAATATTGAAAATCAGGCCTTAATCTATTCACATTCACATACACTAATCTTGCCTAATTCATAAGACAAAGTAATATATTTACAGGCACTATCCAGGCCATTCATTATATATTTATGATAGGTATATAATTTTCTTTTTAATATAAAATTTATTTAATATTTTATCCGTTCTTATTTTAAGTACACATTTTCTATTTTTATCTATAATAATTAATATTTTTATTTTAGATAAAATTTATTAAATTAAATAAGTTTAACAAATATAAATTTAATTTAATTAAATACTTAACATATCATTTAGGATAGATTCAAATTTCTTTTATTTATATTCTTTTCCTAAAAGGATAAATAATTTTTATCTGCATATTTCAAATTTTATATCTTTTATAAAATTATTTATTTTGATTATAAATAGATAAACGTATTTTTTTTTATTTTTATTATAGATTTTTATTCATATTCATATAATTTTTTAAATATTTAAATATATATTTTATTTTTTTAATATTATATATTAAATTTATTTTAAAATTACTAATACTATTAATTATATAAAAAATAAAAAATAATATCATAAAAATAACTCACTATTATTTATTTTAAAATTACTAATACTATTAATTAAATAAAAAATAAAAAAATAATATCATAATTCATTATTATTAACTAATTAAATATATCTAACAAAACAAATCTTTACATGTAATTTAAACAAAATAAAAAAAAATCAACACCACCAAGATAATTTTTAACAGCAATATATTTATAATTACTATACTCTTTTCTATCAACTCAAAATATTATTATTATATTTTTATTTATTTCATTCAAAAATATTATTTTATATTTCATTCAAAAGTAATTTTATATTAATATTAAAATATGATTAATTTTTAATTAAATTACAAATATATCATTAAAATAAAATTACTTTATACGAATAGAAATATCAAAATCTATATGTATGAACCCCGCGTGGGCGCTCCCTTGGAACAGAAAGGGCGCTGTCCACCAATAAACTCCTGCACAGAACTCCGTGCACATGTAGGCAGCAAAAAGACAATGATTCTTTTCGTTGTGCACGGAGCCGTTGCCCAGCCGGATATCACGAACGAGGATGTGCACGCGGGCACCGACGAACCCCGATATTTCGAGAAGTCAAATGAACATTATCGTTTAGAGGAAGGAGAAGTTGTAACAAGGTTTCTGTAGGTGAACCTGCCGAAGGATCATTATCGATGTCTGCCCCGGCAGACAACAACGAACTCGTGACCCAATGTACAAATGCTGCTCAGGCGCTCCATCGCGACGAACCCGCGTCATCGCGAGAAGTCGAATAAGCCTTGTCGTTTAGAGAAAGCAGAATTCGTAAAAGGAATTCTATAGATGAACATGTGAAAGGATCATTGTCGATTTCTGCCCCGGCAGACAACAGCGAACTCGTGACCCGACGTACGAATGCCGCTCAGGCCGTCCATCGTGACAGAGTGGGCGTCACGAGTCCCAAAAAACTCCTGCACGGATTTTTGTGCCCTTCTAGGCAGCAAAAATGGGATTCCCTGCGATCCACGTCACGGCTAGGAATTGCGAACGACGACCCCGTGAGCCGCTCACGGAGCCGTCGCCCAGACGAATTTTGCAAACGGGGTTTCGCGCACTGGCGCCGACGAACCCGCGTCATCGCGAGAAATCGAATAAGCCTTATCGTTTAGAGAAAACAGAATTCATAAAAGGAATTCTACAGGTGAACATGCGAAAGGATCATTGTCGATTTCTGCTCCGGCAGACAACAGCGAACTCGTGACCCGACGTACGAATGCCGCTCAGGCCGTCCATTGTGACAGACTGGGCGTCACGAGTCCCAAAAAACTCCAGCACGGATTTTTGTGCCCTTCTAGGCAGTAAAAATGGGATTCCCTGCGATCCACGTCACGGCTAGGAATTGCGAACGACGACCCCGTGAGCCGCTCACGGAGCCGTCGCCCAGACGAATTTTGCGAATGGGGGTTCGCGCACGGGCGCCGATGAACCCGCGTCATCGCGAGAAGACGAATAAGCCTTATCATTTAGAGAAAGGAGAATTCGTAAAAGGAATTCTATAGGTGAACCTGCGAAAGGATCATTTTCGATATATGCCCCGGAAGACAACAACGAACTCGTGACCCGACGTACGAATGCCGCTCAGGCCGTCCATCGTGACAGTGTGGGCGTCACGAGTCCCAAAAAACTCCTGCACGGATTTTTGTGCCCTTCTAGGCAGCAAAAATGGGATTCCCTGCGATCCACGTCACGGCTAAGAATTGCGAACGACGACCCCGTGAGCCGCTCACGAAGCCGTCGCCCAGACGAATTTTGCGAATGGGGTTTCGCGCACTGGCGCCGACGAACCCGCGTCATCGCGAGAAATCGAATAAGCCTTATCGTTTAGAGAAAACAGAATTCATAAAAGGAATTCTACAGGTGAACATGCGAAAGGATCATTGTCGATTTCTGCTCCGGCAGACAACAACGACCTCGTGACCCGACGTACGAATGCCGCTCAGGCCGTCCATTGTGACAGACTGGGCGTCACGAGTCCCAAAAAACTCCAGCACGGATTTTTGTGCCCTTCTAGGCAGTAAAAATGGGATTCCCTGCGATCCACGTCACGGCTAGGAATTGCGAATGACGACCCCGTGAGCCGCTCACGGAGTCGTCGCCCAGACGAATTTTGCGAACGGGGGTTCGCGCACGGGCGCCGACGAACCCGCGTCATTGCGGGAAGTCGAATAAGCCTTATCGTTTAGAGAAAGGTGAATCCGTAAAATGAATTCTATAGGTGAACCTGCGAAAGGATCATTGTCGATATCTGCCCCGGCAGACAACTGCAAAGTCCTGACCCGACGTACGAATGCCGCTCAGGCCGTCCATCGTCACAGAGTGGGCGCCACGAGTCCAGAAAAACTCCTGCACGGATTTTCATGCACTTGTAGGCAGCAAAAATGGGATTCCCTTCAATCCACGTCGCAGCGCGGAATCGCGAACGACGACCTCGTCAGCCGCTCACGGAGCCGTCGCCAAGACGAATTTTGCGAATGGGGGTTCGCGAATGGGCACCGACGGACCCACGTCATTGCGGGAAGTCGAATAAGCCTTATTGTTTCGAGAAAGGAGAATTCGTAAAATGAATTCTATAGGTGAACCTGCGAATGGATCATTGTCAATATCTGCCCCGGCAGACAACAGCGAAGTCCTGACCCGACGTACGAATGCCGCTCAGGACGTCCATCATGATAGAGTGGGCGCCACGAGTCCCAAAATACTCATGCAAAGATTTCTTTGCATATGCAGGCAGCAAAAATGGGATTCTCTGCAATCTACGTCCCAGCCAGGAATAGCGAACGACGACCCCGTCAGCCGCTCACGGAGCCGTCGTCCAGACGAATTTTGCAAACGGGGATTCGCGCACGGGCGCCGATGAACCCGCGTCATCACGGGAAGTCGAATAAGCCTTACTGTTTAGAAAAAGGAGAATTTGTAAAATGAATTCTATAGGTGAACCTGCGAAAGGATCATTGTCGATATCTGCCCCGGAAGACAACAGCGAAGTCCTGAACTGAGGTACGAATGCCGCACAAGCCGTCCATCGTGACAGAGGGGGCGCCACGAGTCCCAAAAAACTCCTGCACGGATTTCTTTGCACATGTAGGCAGAAAAAATGGGATTCCCTGCAATCCACGTCGCGGCCAGGAATCGCGAACGACGACCCGACCCCGTCAGCTGCTCACGGAGACGTCGCCCAGACGAATTTTGCGAAAGGGGGTTCGCGCACGGGCGCCGAAGAACCTGCATCATCGCGGGAAGTCAAATAAGCCTTATCGTTTAGAGAAAGGAGAATTTGTAATATGAATTCTATAGGTGAACGTGCGAATGGATCATTGTCGATATCTGCCCCGGCAGACAACTGCGAAGTCCTGACCCGACGTACGAATGCCGCTCAGGCCGTCCATCGTGACAGAGTGGGGGCCACGAGTCCAGAAAAACTCCTGCATGGATTTTCGTGCACTTGTAGGCAGCAAAAATGGGATTCCCTGCGATCCACGTCGTGGCCAGGAATCGCGAACGACGATCCCGTCAGCCGTTCATGGAGCCGTTGCTCAGACAAATTTTGCAAACAAGATTTCGCGCACGGGCGCCGACGAACCCGCATCATCTTGGAAAGTCGAATAAGCCTTATCGTTTGGAGAAAGAAGAATTCGTAAAATGAATTCTATAGGTGAACGTGCGAATGGATCATTGTCGATATCTACCCCGGCAG